TATTGTAGATTTTAGTAATAAGGCCTTTGTCTGATGTGTCATTGCTAAAGATGTTTTCCCAGTCCGTGGACTCCCTTATTACTCTCTTGGTGAATTGTTTCAATATACACAGGTGTTTTATCTTCAGTATATCCCACTTGTCAGTTTGTGCCTCCTCTGTGTTTGTGTCCTTCCCTATTTCTGATAGCCTATATATTCCCTGTGCCAAAGTTCTCAAGTTGGTCCCAATTCCCTCCTTTAGCCCCAATAGTTTGGGGTTTTACTTCAAGGTATGTGATCCACCTTGAGTTTATTCTTGTGCATGGAGTGAGATAAGGGTCTTGATTCATTTTTCTGCAGGTAGATATCCATTTTTTCCAGCACCACTTGTTGAAGAGGGCATATGCTTCCCATTGAATATTTTTTGGACCCTTATCAAAGATCAGTTCTCTGTATGCTGATGATTTCATTTCTGGGTTTTCAGTTCTTTTCCATTGGTCTGATTTCATTTCTGGGTTTTCAGTTTTTTTCCATTGGTCTGAGTATCTGTCATTGTACCAATACCATGCAGTTTTGACAACAGTGGTTGTATAATATGTGTTAAAGTCAGGTAAAGCAAGCCTTCCACTGTGTCCTTCTTCTTGAGGAGTTCTCTGCTAATTCTGGGCTTCTTCCCTCTCCATATGAAGTTGGTAATCAGTTTTTCAATTTCGTTGAAGAAAGATGAGGGTAATTGTATCAGGATTATATTAAAATTGTATAGTGCAGTCTTCCAATCAACGAGTATGGCATATTCTTCCATTTGTTGAGGTCACTCTTGGTTTCTTGTAATAGTATTCTGTAGTTATCCTGATATAGATTTTTTTGTTCTTTTACTCAGGTATATCCCTAGATATTTCAATTTGTGCTTGGCTATTGTGAATGGTGCCACCTTTTTGATCTCCTCTTCTGTGGTCTTATCCAATGTGTTTACCAGTCTGATGGAGTTCTGTCTGTTGATTTTGTATCCTGCCATCCTGCCAAACTCCTCTATTGCTTCCAGCACTCCCTTTGTGGAGCTTTTGGGATTTTCCATATATAAAATCATATCATGTGCAAATAACGATAGGTTCACTTCTTCCTTCCCCAGATTAATACCTTTGATGTCTTTTCTTTGCCTTATGCTGTTAGATAAAACTTCCAGTATGATGTTAAGTAAGAGTAGGGGCATGGGGCATCCTTTTCTGTTCCCCTTTAGCAGTGGGATTGTGTTAGTCTTTTCTCCATTTACTACCACGTTGGCTGTTGGTTTTACATATATTATTTGTATTGTCTTGAGTAATTTTCCTTCTATTCTTATCTGCTTGAGTGTCTTAAAGAGGAATTGGTGTTGGATGTTGTTGAATGCTATTTCTGCATCTATTGATATTATCATGTGATTCTTTTTTTTTTTTCTTT